CTTCTGTTGTGCTAATTGCCCTATGTTGATTTCTGAGTTGATTGAAAGGCCCCAATAAACCTTTATTAGTTTTTAATGAACCCTACATCCATTTAATGGTATGACCAACATTGTATCATTTTGTCAACAAGGATTTCAAGGGTGATTGTGTTTGATGCTTTACTCAAACTTAGACATTCTTGTGATCTGCACAACAACTAGATAAACTATTATTCTAAATAAAAAAGAGGTATGATTGTGCATGATTTACTCTCAACGAATCTATGCACATTTTTAGTAATGCCCTTTCTAACGAACCGATTACTTAATCTGGTTTTTTTATACCCTAAAATATGAGCAACATTTGTGGTTCTGGAAGCAATAAACAAAAAATGTTTCAGGTATTTTATTAGTTTATCACAATATAAAATATAGAAGTACAAAGAAAAATTAAAGTAGTGGGAAAATAAGGGAGGAAAAGGAGAAGAGAAGAAAGTGTAGGCTAAGGAGGGGAAAAGAAAGAAAAACATTCACTTCCGACTCCTTTTGGTGCAGTAGAATAAGATAGTAACATAAAACCTCACCGTTTCACTTTTATATAATAATATATATTAGCCATTTCTATAACAACAAACTTATCTAATCAGCAAAACCTAAAATCAAAATTTCATTTTTTTTCCATGTCAAGCACACAGAAAAGCAGTTTCCACGTAGAAACAAAATTCTTTTCTTTAATCAAAGCAGTCAATTTTGCCATCTCTGCTAACCCCATCAACTTTTGCAGCCATTGTGGGAATCAAAGTATCCCTCCAATTTTGTGCATAAAGTATTCTTGCTGCCATCAACATATATAACATCACAGTTCCAATTTTGTTAAGTTCTTTATCCATTAAGCCAACTTGTGCCAACTTTTTAGAGATATCTCTAATAATTTTTGGAACAGTATACTTAGCAGCTTTTCACTCACGTAAAGTAGGGAGTGACCCTAACATTCTGAGAATATGTATTTTCTTAACAGGGATATTATTATTTACTATTAATGTCAGTACTATTTTTTTTAATGTATTGTAAAATATGGCGTCTATTGCTGGTTCACGACTGTAATAAAGTTGTTGTTGTTATTATTATTATTATCCATTAAGCCTAAGAGTTTCTGGTTTTATCTTTATATTCACTTTAAGAATCTTCTGTATTAACATGTGAATCCTACTCCAATATTTCTTTGCTTTGTCCCATGTCCACATAAATGGTAAAAAGTTCCTTCTTTACCTTTATGTTTCCAACATTCATTTGAGGTCCCTTTATACATTTTTGACAATTTGTCCAGTGTTAGATACCAACGGTACATCATCTTATAAAAATTTTCTTTTAAATTATAATTTGATGTGAACTTTAGATCTTTCATCCATGTGTTCTGCCATTTTTCAAGCATTAGTATTATATCCAAAGTACTTTGCCCACTAAATCATACGATGCTTTACATACTCATTCTCTAAGTTCAATTTCAATAACAGTTTATAATCCTTAGCAATAATATGTTCATCACTACCACACAATAATATTTCCAAATCCATAATTCCAACTCTTGAGAATAGGGTTACCATAGCTGAAAGATATTATTTGACCATAAGTCCACCAGTCTTGCTTCACCACCATTTCTTTTCTTAAAAATGCTTCCTGGGCAACACCCAAAGAGGCTTCTTCTTCTTCTTGTGCCATATCCGTTATCGGACGTTGGCGATCATGTTGGCGATTCTGTTTTTATCAGCAGCCTCATGAAAAAGTGCTGCTGAGTTTTGTCCAAACCAGTCCCTTAGATTTTGAAGCCATGATGTTCTTCTTCTGCCTGGACTTCGTTTGCCTTCAGTCTTTCCCTGGAGGATTAAATGGAGTATGCCATATTTTTCTGGGTGTCGCATCACATGTCTGAAATATTCTAATTTTCGTTTTTTAATTGTTTTGATGATTTCCCTTGGCTTTCCCAGGTGGCTTATCACCTCCTCATTTCTGATCTTGTCAACCCAGCTTATACGTAACAGCCGCCTGTAAATCCACACTTCAAATGCTTCTAGTCTCTTCAGGTGGCCTTCTGTCAGAGACCAACTCTCTACTCCATAGAGCAGGATAGAAAAAATATAGCATCTGACAAGCCTGATTTTCAGTTTTAGGCTTATGTCGTGACTGCAGAAGACCTTTTTCATTTTGAAGAATGCTGTTTGAGCTTTTTCTATCCTTGTCTTTACTACAACGGTCAAGTCCCAACTTTCATATAAATAGCCATCTTCACAGAGAACCTTATTTTATATTTATTCTAAACTTTTAGGATAGTACGTATAACAAAGTGATTATTGAAACCAGCAATAGTAATATCTTTACTTCAACCTTATCATGCTATAAATACTTGTGCCATCCAAATCTTAATGTCCCTTCAGCTCAAGTAACCTCTTATTTTGAAAAGTCACCCACTCTTTTAGCCAGACCAAACAACAAGCATCAAAATATAATTTCAAATTTGGTAAGCCCAAATCTCCACTTTCCTAGCATCTTCCAATAATTTATGTCTAATGCTTGTTTTTTTTTTCCCCCTTGCCATATAAATGTAGAGAATCCATCTGCCATAGTTTAAATGGAGTACAAGTTATAAGTATTGGTAGAGTCTGAAACAGAAAAAATATCTTTGGTAAAACATTCATCTTAATTACAGAGATTCTACCCAATAATAATAGTTGCAATTTATCCCATCTTAACAAGTCTTTTTTAATATCATTCCGAAAAAGCACAATGTTAGTTTGAAAGAATTTAGCATTTGTATTTGTCAATATAACCCCAGGTACTTCACTTTTTTCTCCACCTTAAAACCCTATGTTTTAGTCAATATTTCATAATCCTGAGAGGTCATATTCTTAACAAGCATTGTTGTTTTCTGTTTATTTTTTATAAAACCCCCTAAAGCTCCAAACTCATTTAATTTCTTCATCAGATATTCTTTACTGGGTTTTGGATTGTACAAAAATATAACTAAATTGCCAGCAAATGCTCTCATTTATAAACTTCCTTTTTGATATTTATACCTGTTATTTTCTCATCTTGCCTAATATCCCTATTCAAAACTTCCAATACCAGAAAAATGAAATTAAACCTGAAAGGGTGTATTAACCAAAGCATAGCAAAAGAGAAACTAACTGTAAAGCATAATATACACAGGAACAGCAAAGTTCAACAGAGGACTGCAAATACAGGAGAAAATCTCAATCTTGTTCAGTAACTGAGAGCCCTTCTTCCTTAGCAAAGATATTCCTTGGATTATTCTGGCTATAGATGCTGGCTATAGCACCTTTCCCGTATAGGTCTGTACTGAGCTCATCTCAGGTAAGTTTCCAAAACCCTATATAATATGCTATAGCAGTGGTTCTCAACCTGTGGGTCGGGACCCCATTTGGGGTCGAGCGACCATTTCACGGGGGTCGCCAAACAACGCAGTCCGCCATTTTTTTCCCCCTTTTCCTTAGCTGTGCTACTCCCTTTTATTCTATTGGCTTTTGAAAGCCAATAGAATAGACTCTCTTGAATAGAGTCTAATTCTATTGGCTTTCAAAAGCCAATAGGAATTGTCCAGGCTGTCTCTGCCCTGCTGAGCCCGCCAAAAGTCCCATTCTGCAAACGGTGCTGCACCAGTTGAGTAGTCCCCGACTTGTGACCGGTTGAGTAGTCCTCGACTTACGACCAGTTGGGGGTCGCGGCATTAAAAAGGTTGAGAACTACTGTGCTATAGCAATTCCTCATCCTCCTATTAATACACATTTCTTATTTATACTTCTTGCCCAATAGTTGTTACACATTTACTTGTGGTAGCACCATCTTATTCATCTGCCTCCCTGCTAGGTATCAGGCCTTGGCAAAGCAGTTCTAGAAGAAAAAATAATCTTCTGGAAGTAAACTGCTGGAGAAAATAACCAGTAAAATAGGAAGAGTTTTAAAAGCCTTCATACTAAAGCTAAAATTACTGTGACCAACTGTCAGAAAAGATAGGAAAGCACAGAGAAAACTGGAGTCCACCATTTCAACCTCCTCCTCTTCTGCAATAGCACAATGTCTGGTTGGTCCAAATAAATATGTAGGATCAATCTGTAACCTCTAATGACAGGACACAGTGAGAAGTTGTTCGTCAACATGGAAAAACTCTTTAAGGTTTCCAGGGCACATAGAATGTGGGGCTCCAAAGATGTTCCATAAGAACTTTAAGAGATTTCCTTATGCCAAATCTGATGGAATATAAACAGTGTGGTGTTTTTCTTAACTGGCAATTTCTCTAGGTCAGTATTTCTCAACCTCAGCAAGGTTGACAGGTGGGGACTTCAACTCCCAGAATTCCCCCAGCCAGCAGGTCAACACATCTCAAAATTGCTAAGGTTGAGAAACACTGCTCTAATTTTTAAAGAAGGGTTTTTTTCCCCCAACCTACCTCTTAGTAATAGGCATTAAAAAATCTTCTCTAGGGCAAAGCTTACACTTGCAGCATCTTATTCTTCTACTTACAGCTTTTCTATACAGCATTTGAACAGCTGGTGGATAGATGTCAAATCTCTTCCCATGTGTTTTTATGTATTTTGACTTCTTTTTAATGATGGAGGTTTAATTTTTGTTTGTGTTTACTTCTGTGCCATGCCACCCAGAGTCACCTTGCTTGAGTTGATTGGCCTTATAAGTGTATAAAAGGAATAATTAAACAAATATGCAAAATGAATATGGGAAATGGCCAGCCTTGCTATGTGATGGATTATCACAAAAGCCTGCAGATAATTTCTCATCTGCAACCATAGGCCAATGTGTGCAGTTGGATGAACCGAGTAACCTCTGGGTCCACCAATCATGTATAGCCTTGTATTAACCACTTATTACATGCTTTTCCTAATGGCAGATGAAATATAGATATTTGACTTCCAAAATTGACTTGGAAGTCAGTCACTTTCTTTGTGTTGATGAGGCTCTTTTTGACTCATTTCCTATTTATCTTCCTGCAGTGGAGGGATGGGCAGAAGGACCAGGAGCAGCAACACAGGTGCCCCGTTCTAAAAGGGCAGATGTTGGAGATGCATTTCGGTCAGATCTTGACACAATTCCAATTCATGATGAACCCAGACGGAAGGAGAAATCGACTGACACAGAAGAGGACCAGATAAGCGAAGAGTCTCGTGAACTGAGCACCAAAACTACTCAATTCCCATCTATTGTTGACGAATTTGTAGAAAAGTCTGGGGACGACAAGGGAGCAGGACTTGCCTATATCCCGGCTGATCCAGCTCAGCTAGCAGCACAAATGCTAGGTAATGTTGAAACGATGGGTACTGAGCCTGAGATGAAGGATGTGGCCATCTCTGTGCAGACCCTTCCCACATTGTCCCACACTGCCAGCGAGGCAATGGCCGCGATTGCACTTGGCCAACCAGCTGCTCCAGAACCTGCCCCAGAGCCTGCCCCAGAGCCTGCCCCTGAGCCTGCCCCTGAGCCTGCCCCAGCAGAAACAGAACCTGCTGAAGAAGAAGCACCTGCCCCAGCAGAAGCAGGACCTGCTGAAGCAGAAGCAGAACCTGCTGAGGCAGAAGCAGAACCTGCTGAAGCAGAAGCAGAACCTGCTGAGGCAGAAGCAGGACCTGCTGAGGCAGAAACAAAACCTGCTGAGGCAGAAGCAGAACCTGCTGAGGCAGAAGCAGAACCTGCCCTAGCGGAAGCAGAACCTGCCCCAGAGGAAGCAGAACCCGCCCCAGAGGAAGGGGAAGCTGCCCCAGAGGAAGGGGAAGTTGCCCCAGAGGAAGTAGAAAACAGAACCTCTGCACCTTCTCTCAGGGCTGGATCAATCACTCAAAGTCAGAGCTCCGTCCAGGAGGAAGTAGCTACCTTGGGCAGCCAGGGGGAGCAGCCACCTGCTGACCTAGTAGAACAAGCTTCCTCAGATCCCTTGCAGGAAGGAGAGCCACCCCCGCCGCTACCACCACCGCCTCTTGATAAAGACCTGTTGCAGGCAGAGGGTTGCCCAAGTGAAATTGAGCTCACATCAGACATACACATCACACCCGTGGGTGATGATGACCCCAACGCTGGTGGAGAGCCTGTACCACCACCTTATGTAGAGCAGTTTCCACAGCAGATAGTCATTCCTTTCGTAGACACAGTAGCCTGTCTCTTAGATCCACTAACGGCTTCACTAAATTCAGGCCAGTTTACTAGTATTCTAGATCCATCTGCAGATGATGCAGAATGTGACCCTGACAGAATGGATACTACAGAGCAACTGAAATCAACTGACCCAGGTTTTGTTATGTCAGGTAAGAAAGTCAAGATATTTCTGAATCCTTCCTATTCCACATTGTAATATTTTAGCTCTGTAAGTAGTAATCTTTTCCATCTCCTTGGGTGCATTTATGTTGGTAAGAGCTGACAATAAATTAACAGGAAAGGGGTTAGTTCTCCAGCTATAGCTGAACTAGAATTGCCAACAGTCTCAGCCATTACAGTTAATACTGAGGGATGTTGGGTATTGCAGTTCAGCAACATCTGGAAGGCTACAAGTTTCTCCACTCCTGCAATATAGCTTTGGCCAAGAAAGTGCCTCAAGGACTGGAACTTTACTTGTTTAAATGCAAATAGCCATGCCAGTGCAGGGTTGAAGTAAATGATGGTTACTTTTGTTTTGGGGTGTTACAGGCCCACAGGACTTGTCAGGCAGAATGTGCATGTGTGAAATTTTTCCCTGTGGGATCCTTCCAGATGTGCAGTGGATTGTGAATAAGCCCTAAAGTTTTCTTTGCACAAGTTTGCCCTAGTTTCCTGTTCCTGTATTATATTCTTTTTGTACAGAGACGGAGAAGCAGCATGGGATGAAATTCAGCAAGGGAACACTGGTATAGAAGATGCTTGGCCTTTCATTTTCCTACCAGAAGACTTGCTCACAATAAACTGCACAGCTTGAATCAAAATTGCATACATGCCCATGGCAGCTGAAGGAAAGTGAGGTGGTGACTGTGACTAATTTTTTTAAACATAGTAGACTCAACTGTGGCATTGACATGGTTTTTGCATTTAAAAGAAATGGTGGTGGTTGCCTTCGCTTGTCCCATTAGGTCCAATCTTCTCCAGATGCCTACAGAGGGTGGACTAGTTGCTTTTTACTTAGAAACATGGGATTGTTGCAACTGGAGGCCTAGCTTTCCTCCCTGGCTGGACCTCTTCCAAACATTTTCTTGCCTCTGTAATAAGTGTCTAAGCCACTACTGTTCCCAGCTGGAAAAAGATTGATGTTTTTTATCCATTGACCTCTGATTGTAAAATCTCCCAAGAATCACGTTATGTTAGAGAGATAGGTAAGAAACAAAAGCATGTTACAGAAGAGAGAACGCTGAAGGGTTAAAAGGATACTGAAGCTTGTCATGGATGGATTTTTCAATATTTTAAGCTGCCAATCATTTGAATTGGAGTTTATCATCCAACAGCTTTTGCATTGACTCACTGGAGAGCTGATTAAAATGAATTCGTACAGGACCCTAAGGTTTCACCTGTGGGGCAAGCCTGTAAAATCTAACTGACTGATGTTATGCTGACAAAGGACTCTCATACATGTTGAATATTGGCAGTTTGGCAATTTCTTGTAATTAATGAATGACTTGAATTAAAAATGTGCTCTGTGCATCTTTTCAAGCTGAACTGCAGCTTCATCACCACGAGGCACATTTCTGTTATCCATCTATTTTCAATGTACCAAGGTGCAACTTTTTGCCTCTACAGACTCTCTTCTTTGTAACATGCTTCTTTGCGGCATAAAGTTATTTATAAAGATATGCATTATGACTGCAGTTCATACATCCTAGTAGATGGTCTTTCATGCCAGCAAATTTTTCTTTAAATTTTTATTTTATAGCCATGGCAACAAGCGAACCAGGACAGCCACCACCATATTCTAATGTATGGACTCTCTATTGTCTAACTGATTTGAAACAACAAGGTCGTAAGTCACCACCACCTCCACCACCCCTTCCACCTGTTGGAACTGGTGCTACTGTTCCCCAAGCAACCCTATTCATATCTAGTGGTAAGGACCAACCACAGTATCTACAGCCGCAGATGATACAACAAGGTCAACCACCACAAGTGTCCTCTCCAACTTATGTGATGATGGAAGATGGGAAGAAGGGAAATGCACCACCTTTCATTTTAGTGGGCTCTTCTGTTCAGAATAAACAGGACTGGAAACCTATCCCAGGCCATGCTGTTCTAACACAGCCGGACGCTACTGGTACTGTGAGGAGGTTCGCTACAATCCCCGTACCAGTCGCCAGGGCAGCAGATTCAAAAACGGCCAACCCCAATTTTAACCCTGCACAAGATAGTGGCAGGCCTCCAACTCCAGTTTTTCTTTCAGTTGCCATACCTCTGGAAGATGTGATGAATGGGAAGATGGGCTCAGGAGCTGGGGATAAAGCAGCTTTTGCAGGCAGTTATGGTATAGCAGGAGAAATCACATTTACGACTGCCTCTGTACGCAGGACAGAATAGCAAAACGGTGAGTGGATGTTCAGGGTTTGGTAGAGACCTTAAAGCTTGATAAAGCTTTAAACACACACCTTTCAAACCTGGTTTTTTTCAGATATGTAGCGTTCGATCTCACTAGTCCCCAGTCAACATGGGCAGTGAATATGGCTGGGATTAGATGAGAGATGAAATCTGACACATTTGCCTGAAGTGGGCTCGTAAGATGTTCTTTGGTACAGTTGCTCTTCTGCCCATATGACATTCTTGATGGTTTGTAGCAACCATTCCCAGATATCATTCTAAGGGCACAAGCCAAAGATCAGGACCAGCGTTAAGCAGAACAAGCAGCTTTTATTTTGTTTTGCAACTGAATGGTACAGTACTTCTTTTCTTTGAGGGAAAGCAGGGATGCACAAGATTTGACAGGGTGCCGACATGGTATCATGTCAAGTTCCTTCATTTTTCTCTTCTTAGGGCAGGGAATGAAGCAAGTACAGCTTCTTTAAGATGAACAAATATCAAAATACAGTGAATTTAGAGATAATGCCCCTTTCCAGAAAGAAACTTATAAAAATATTTCTAATTTTATTTATATCCCCACTTTGTGTAAAAGAGCGCAGGGCAGCATATATAATGCTCCCTCCTCCTATTTTTCTGACAAGAATCCTGTCAGGTAGGTTGGGCCAAGAAGAGATGGTCTAAAGCAGTGGTTCTCAACCTGTGGGTCGGGACCCCATTTGGGGTCGAACGACCATTTCATGGGGGTCGCCAAACCATGCTGTCCACCATTTTATTCCCTTTTCCCTAGCTGTCCTACTCCCTCTTATTGGTGGCCACACCCACTTGGGGGTCACCACAACATGGGTAACTGTATTATGGGGTCACGGCATTAGAAAGGTTGAGAACCACTGGTCTAAAGCCACCTCAGGAGCATCCATTGGATCAGTGTTTCTCAACAACTTTTAAGATGTGTGGATTTCAGCTCCCCAGCTGTATCTTAAAGTTGCCATGGTTGAGATTCCTGCAATAGATTAGTACTACATTTCTTAAAATCTCATCTTATATATATAATTCAGGGGAGCAAACAAACCTAATGCTCTTGCCTCCTAATTTTCCCACAAGTCTAACTTGGGTTAAGGAGAGACAAGAACCTGGGTTTCCCTGCTCCTAGATCAGTGGTGGCAAACCTATGGCACGGGTGCCAGAGGCGGCACTCAGAGCCCTCTCTTTGGGCACATGCTCTGTCACCCCAGTCCTAGGCCTTCAGCTGGGTTTTATAAAACCTTTTCGCTTTAGGCCTTCGCTGCCATGTGCAAAAAAAAAAAAAGATTCAATCAGTCAATTTCAACTTCTCACGGCAAAAAAAAAAGGATCTTGCAAAGTTGGAATTGATTGAACTTTTTAGTCCCACCCAATCTGCCGTTATCACCGCAGCCACGCCCACCCAATGGGCCACACCCACCTGGCACTCGATGATGCATAAGTGGGTTTTGGGTTGCAATTTGGGCACTCGGTCTCTAAAAGGTTCGCCATCACTGTCCTAGACCATCTTTACAATTCTCATGGCTCGCTAAAAACCCAGGGAAGAGCATATTAAATGTTAAGGCATATTAAATAGCAATATGCGGCTTTGGGTTTGAAGGTGCATCGGTCTGCAACCTATTCAAGCAACCGTGCTGTTTTCCTGACAATATAGGCTTCCTTCTCCAGCTGTTCTCTGAAAGCAGGAAATAAACTTTGGTTGAGTTGCAGAAGAGTGCTCATTTGGGCCTCTCTTCACAGCTTTTTAGGACTTTGGCTAAATCTGCCTTCTTTGAAATAAAAACATGATGTGAGCTAGCTTTCAATAGCAGCACTTACATACAAACCCTTTTGGTGCATTTTTATCATTGCCTTCCTTTCCTTTCATGCATAGTGCTCTTTATCAGAATTAATGGCAGACCTCTGAAAGCTTGCTTATTTCCAAATCTTAATAATAAAGAAAGCTTGGTTTTCCTGCCACTATTAGGTAAAAGAGAGAAGTAGGGTTGTTTGTAAAATAGACTGAAAGCCCTAGCTTATGGCATGTTTCTGTACCATATTGATAGCAATAGTGTTCTCACACATTTATAGGACATTGGGGTTAGGACCAATTTATGTATGTTTGCTGTATTCAAACCATTCAAGCACACTTGTTCAAAATCAGTGTGTTTTCCCTGAAAATACTATTTGTGATGCTGATTTCAGGCTAACTATGAACCTTGTCATTCAGTAGCATATGTTTGTATGTATGTATGTATGTATGTATGTATGTATGTATGTATGTATGTATATGTAATAGAAATAAAATAGTCCAAGCACCAGGATAATATTAAAACAAAAACTGTTTAATATAAAAGCTAAAGCTAAGCTTTCATTGGCCAACACTGCCGACATCATCAGAGCATAGTACAAGATTACTGGGAGTCCTTTTTATATTGCCGGACGGCTCTGCGCCCGGCTTCTCGATCTAGTCATCGGTCCGTCCGTTTTCTCTACTTGGTTTGTTCTTAAAGGGCACACATCTCTTGCTGTGTTGGTATCTTCCGAGGTTGCTATTTTCTTTTTCTTGGGCTTGGTCACTTTCTTTCTGCTAGCATACGCTGGTTGCTTTCGCTCGCTTTAGCTTTTGTATTAAACAGTTTTTGTTTTAATATTATCCTGGTGCTTGGACTATTTTATTTCTATTATATGGATTTACCCAGGATTTGCATTTTTAGTATAATTAGGGATTATATATATATGTATTAGCCTAAATTAAAAGAAAGAAAAACAAACACAAGGATAGAATAAACAGACTGTTTAATGTAATCATCCTGTAGCACATAAAATCAGCTGTGTCAGGACATTATTTAAACAGGTCAACTCCTATTGCAGCACAGTCAGAGCCAAAATCGAGGAGAAAAAAACACCTCTACTGCATCTTTATGTGCAACGGCTATCCTATGGAATTTGTGAGATGATATAGTAGACCATATCACACTCACAGGGACTTGCACTCTAATGTGATAACGCCGGCCACACGGACAGCCCTCCCTTACATCTATGGTGTTTCCGAGGCTACGGCACGGCTGTTGGCCCCCTACAATGTGAACGTTGCCCATAGGCCTAAGCAGACCCTAAGAGCCAAGATCATGCACCCCAAAGAGCTGCTCCCCAACAATCAAAGATCATCTGTGGTTTACAGAATTAATTGCAAGAACTGTGCAAGCAATTACGTTGGGGAAACAATTAAAAGGCTCAGAACTAGGGTCCATGAACATAAATTGGCAATCAAAAGGCAGGAGCAACGCTCACAAGTGTGGGCCCATATGGCCAGCTTTGGCCATACGTTCGATCTGGCCAATGCGGAGGTTATATCTCGTGAGAACACCAAGGGTGGCGCTTACTCAAAGAAGCCTGGCTTTCCGATGAGAATTCCATCAACCGGCATATAGACCTCCTACCGCCTATCAGATCCTCAGAAGGTGGGAGAGAGAGCGCTGTGATCAACGGAGGAGACAGCTAGTCTGTCCCTTGCAGGATCGGGGCGGCAGAATGATCAATGAGGCAGCTACGATCTTTAGAGAGGACAATGATCCAGGGAAAGGGGAGAGAAACCAGGGATCAAAACAATGGGACAGCTCCTTACACGATTGGGGCAATAGGTATACAGGGACTTCCATGGGAGGGGATGATGGACCAATGGTGCGCCACGGCCGTGAGCTGGGGATAGATGCGCAGAGGCAATCTGGAATGAGGGGGAGGGGGGAGGCAGAGAGCAGGAACGCAGGAACAGCTGTCCTTTGCAGGATTGGGACAGGGAAGTTACGGGCAGGATAACAGTGACCTTGGGGGTGGGGGAGGATAATGGCCCGATAGTGTGCCCTAATCGCAGCTTGAGAAACAGCATCTGAGATCCCCCCAAGAGGGGAGGGGAGACAAGGCACAGAGATGTTTTGACAGCCGCCCCTCGAGTGCTTGTACACATGTCAGAAGAGCGATTGAGGATCGAAGAACCACCATCGGGTCCAGGGACAGGCTGCAAGATGCGGAGCAACTCGGTGCATTATGGACGAGCACAATCAATGGGCCGATGAAGCGCTCAAGAAGCCGGGCGCAGAGGCAGGTCGTTATATAGGCTAGCTCCCAGATCTTTTACTCCAACTCTGACGATGTCGGCAGTCTGGCCAACAAAAGCTTAGTGATTTTTTAATCACAGGCTTGTTTACATTAAACAGTCTGGTTTATTCTATCCTGGTGTTCATTTTTCTTTAACTTAAGCTAATATGATGCCCAAGATTTGCTTTTTTAAGGATATATATGTATGTGTGTATATATATATGTATGTATGTATGTATATGTATTAGACTGAAGATGTGGTATGCTGGCTAAAAAGATACAATGGAAATTTGATTATAAAGCAGTGGTTTTTGAAGTTCAAAGCATTCCAAAACCACAATTAAGGTTTAGTAGATTGAAATGAATGTTAGATGGAACAAATAGTTTTTCACAAAGTGTTTCTTACTGTCACCAGCTAGACTTGTGGACTTATGTTTGCCTGTATAGTTCACTGAAACTGATAAATTTTTTAGACTATATAAAAGTTAATTTGTTCCTACCAAATAAATGGTTGACAGCTGTAATGAGAAGATAATGATTTGTAAAAAAAAGTTATTACCTGAAGTAATTTGGTTTTATACAAGCTGAAAGGTTAAGTCTAAATGATAGATACTGGGATGAATGCAACTTTTGCATCTGTTTGGTTCATGTCACAGCCTGGTTTTTGATGTAATCTTGCTTATCTATTTTTGGTTGCTTCCTTCTACAATTTCTAGGACTTTTGAAGATCTCCTCCAGAGCATTGGGAGACCCATTTAAATTCATGAGTAGTAATCATGGGCTGATTAAAAGGAAAAATGTGTCCTGATTTCACTTCTCTTCTGCTCCTATTAGTCTAATTTGCTGAGAAGCAAACCTTGGATTCAACCTATTATGTGCAACTAAAACATTAATTAGTATCTTCTTAAGGCATTTTTAAAAAGTCTGCAGCCTGTTCCCATCTTTTCTCCACTTGGAAGAAATGTCTCCAAGGAAATTGCAAATAGTTTATCTACACATCTGAATAAGACTCCACCAGGAGCGCGTGAACCCCTGCAATTTATATTCTATTGTGTACAATTACCGGCATTGTTATATCCATGACTAAACAGATCTCCTTGCAGCGGTAACTCAGAACAGGCAGAGATTTGTTCCAAACCCCTCCTTGTACAGTATATGCATCTACCTATAGTAAAAAAAACTACTTAAAGCTTAGTGAAGTACATCCTTTCATTTCATCTATCAGTAGATTTCTCACATTATAAAGTTGTGGATATCAGTGACTATTTTCACCCACTGTACTAAGTCATAGCTTGTTTCTACCATGGCTTGCAGAAAAGGCCATAACACCTGGATTCCCATAGTACTCTAAGCCAAAACCTAATAAGCTGAATTAGGGCTTAGTACAATTGACAAACCCTGTATGGTAGGATAGGGTAACCTAAGAGCAGCCGTTGAAATACAACTCTGTTTACTTTTGGAAGCTACCAAATTTGAAGTACACATTCTTGTATGAAGGGTTTTGTCCTTTGTAAAATAAATTCATCCAAGCTTTTGAGCAGGATGAGAAAGCCTGAATGTTTCCAGGGGTTGTTGGATTCTAAATCCAATCACTATTATCTCGAGTCAAGACCAAATCTAAAGATGGTGCCTTTTTATGTACTTTTGTGAGAGGTGACAGCCTATGCATTGATGCTTGATACTAGAAATGATGTATTTTTACAGTACTGTCCAGGAATCATTGCTAAATGTACTGAGCTGATGTTTTTTTCCTCCCAGATTGAGAAGAGGTGCTGTCCAACATTTCACCCCAGAATGGAAAGCTGCATCTTTAATTTAAAATTGATTAACTACTAGTACAAGCAATAAAAACAGTACAAGGAATCTGAATCTAAAGACATTTTTTCCCTATGGCTAAAGACTGGTAGCCAAGTAGCATAAAATTAAAACCAGGAGTTTCCTTAAGCTGATTTTCTATACAAACTAAAAATTTAAAAATGATTGCTAGCAAAAACATGGAACTTCAGACACCTTCAGCAGAAATATATTATTAGACTATTTATTAGAATTGTGGAAAATTTTGAAGCCTTGTGTGTATATAATTTATCAGTAATACAACAAATCTACTTCGAAGTAGCAAAATAGAAAACAGTGTTTCAGGAATGAGAATGAGAAAAAAACCCTAGATGGAACCAGAACACCCTTGCAGACTCCTGAGCCACTCTCAATGCTGTCCTTCCAGCATTGGGTCAAGAGACAAAAAAAAGAGATTTTGCTTGTAATCTACTGACAGCAAAGAATCAAACGGCACCTGACAACAGGACAGCGAAAGCCTTTATTTAATAGCAATAAAATATTCAGTTAACACTATTTCCAAACCATACTTAAATTAGACAAGAGCAGCAGTCTCTCTGGAATTTCTGTACCCCATATTATACAAATATATAATTTCATAAAGGTTAAAGCACCGCAAACGGGTAAATTTGCTCGGTACAATAGTCTCTCAAATGCTTTTGAAATGTACACACTTCCTTCTAGGGTTTGTTGTGGCCCCATAGATCCAGGTGCTTCTCTTTTCTTTGTAATGTCCCAACTTAATCTCATAGAGCACTTCTTTGTGTGGATAAGGACTCTGTGGCCTTCCAGAGGTCGAACCACAGTTCCCATCATTCTTGACTGCTCAACATGCTACCAGGGCTGAAGCCCAACAATATTCAGACAGCCTATATTAGTGCACTGCAGTTTGTTTAAAAAACATACTTATCTTAGTTCAAATTAAACTTTTAAAGATTTAAATGGCTCTTAATTCCTTAAAAGATAGCATAAAATAAAAAAATAAAACATGAAAGAGAAAATTCAAAATATCGCACTAAATAGGAAAAGACATTGCTAAGTGATTTTATGCATTAATCCAATTTTAATTAAGTAGTAGTAGGTTGGTGCAGAGAGTAAAAAATAAAATTATGAATGAATTACCTATGATCCTGTATTTTATTAATGGAATGCTGGCTTCAGGAAGTTGACTAATTCTTCCCCAAATTGTCATGCCCTTCTCATGCTTTAAGCCACAGAATATAAGTTACAGATGATCATTTGTTACTGGGTTGAGAAGAAATGCCATGTTTTTCATTATATGATATTATAATTATTATTCACCAAAGAGAAAGTCAAAATCAAAGGCATTTTTGTTTTCCATTTAACCTGTAATTGATCTTTAGTTCACAAATATGGGTAGCAGTGTCCTTGTCTCTCCCAAGTATAACACCAGTGATCAATCTATGTGCAAATACATCTTGCATTCTAGGGAGAACAGCCTTGAGCTATACTGTGGCAGGAGCACCAGAACGTATTCAATTGCAACCTGTCTGATTTTAATTTTTTTCTAAGAATACAGGCATAAAGAAAACACTGAAAACTGATTTAAGACTTGTGTTAGCCTCAGAATTTCCAACGCATTTTAATAGATATCGGGCAAGTTGAAGTAGTTTCTGTCCCAGTAGTTGCCAGAATAAATCCAGTCATGTCCGCCAGTGTGAGGATTAGGACCTTGATGAAACCACCTGTAAGAGAAAAACTGGTTACGGAAAGGAAACTGGTGTATATTCTGTTTGAGGAAATTTAAACTGCCATAAGCCTTGAATAACCAGAAAATTCACTAAATAATTATCATCCTGATCCTTAGAAAGGCTTCCTGAACTACTTATTGCTACTGATCTGTTGAAACAAAGATAAGGGAAAAGACAAAGGAAAGCTGAGTGGCATTTATTTTTAATGAAAATGTGTAAATGAACTAACAATGTATTGTGGTAAAGATAAAAAGCATTTGAGATAGTCCTCATTAAGTAACTGCCTTGGATAGCAAATGATTGGAAATACAACAGTAATAAACTGTAATTAAAAATTAATTTTCCAACCAAAGCAGGCATTTACAACAAAAGCTTTCAGTGTGAAACTGATTCAGGACTGGTTAGTTTCAGGCACAGCAGTGGCCAGAGAGTTCTAATGAACTAATTAAGTCCATAGAGCTGAGCTTGTTAACTTTGGATTAATGCTTTTGTGGGAAGCCTGGACTGTGAAGAAAAGCGTCTCAGGAAAAGATAGCTTGTTTAAGTAAACTCTCTGTCTTGTAAGGAGGCAATCAATCAATCAATCAATCAATCAATAATGAAATAAAAATAAATAAAGTAATTTAGGCACAGAACACGTACCAGAGAACTTAATCTAAATGAGACAATCTTTGCAGAATCTCTCAGTCATATGTTCACTTGATGACCACTTTGCTTAATAACTGAGTTGTAGGAACCAACTAAAATCACTAAAGGAAGGCTATCTGTATTTTATCAAGCTGGTAGGGTGTGTGGGAAGAAGGATAGTTTGGCAAAAAGTCTATTGTGGAAGAAGCTTGGGAATGCTGGTTTTACTTTTCCTTCTTACCCACACACTTACCCAAAGAGCTAGTAGGGCAGGGAAAAATGTCAGCTCTGAAGCCAGAAGAGAGGCCACAGAAGCTTTGGAAACTGACTGAAAAGCCCATCTCTTATCTTGGTCCCCCTTTAATCATGGCACATATGGGACCAACTAGTGAATTTTAAGTTAGTAATTCAGTGGAAACCAAAGAAGTGGGTGTCTTCTCACATTTGTGAGAACAGAACCTGGTTTCAAAAAAAAAATGCATCCATTATTAAATAGAGAACCTGATAGGAAAACAAAGATAATCCTCAGAAGAAATAGTAGAAAGACTAGTCAATCGACAAAGAAAAAAGCTTCACAATAATCTCAGCTGAATGGAAAACAACCAAATTTGATAAAAGGAACTTTATTCATACTTATGGTATCACTTGTTATTTTTTAGGCACCATAATAATCTTAAACCTTCAATGCAAATCCAAACATGTCAGCATAGTAACAAAAATGCTATTAGAAGATAGTCTGGGCCACTGGCTGATGTTTAGAAAAAGAGAACAAAATACACTGAATTAACAAAGTATTAATAAACAGCAAAGAGTACAGCATGTCGAGAGAAATTCATGCCAGCTTTTTAATATGGCAACATTTTTTTAATATGAAGGCAAAGTCAGAAAGGCACATAAAGCTATTAAATTGAAATTAGGTTCTGACATGGAAATAAATAGAATAACATACAGAGGCAAAAAAAAATGTTCAAAAGTGTCTATAACAGATTCCTAGTATATAAATCAATCCATATACTAGAAAATAAAAAGAAGACATGCATTCAGCAACTGCATTCAAATTTAGATTCCTACCTTATTTCTTGATAAGCCTACTTAAACTTTCAGGATCAAAAGCTGACCTGCAAGGTTTCTTGGTGCCAGGAGAACTGAAGCACCAATGTCAACAACCACTGTGGTGGTTGTAACATGCTGCTTCAGCAATCATATTTTCCATTTTCAAGCCAGAAACCATTTGCTCCAAGTAGCAGCACTGCATGTAACATACCCAGCATAATGTACAGTATTATGGACTGAAAGAAAAGGGCCAATTTTCCAGGCTATTTCCAACATCTTTGTATATTGTCTGTAAACAGATACGCTCTGCAGCATTATGAAGGATTAAGAAATACCCTAAAAAAGTATTTTTGAAGTCACAACTATGCACTTCATAATAATGAGCAAGATACATTTATTTACTTATTAAATAAATTTATATGGCCACCCAACACATACATGGTGACTCTGAAGTTTGGAGTTTATTTAATACGAAGAAGTAAAGTTTGTATAAATGTACATATACATATTAAGGAGTAAGTGTGCAAGTGGAATAAGTAGGGCTTTGGGAAACCTTAAAATGATAAAGCCATTAAATTTCTTTGCAGATGAGGGCACAAACCTTGATTCCCATCTTCCAGCCCAATTTCTCTAGAATGCTTGGCCCTTTCCTAGAGATGATAAGAGAAACCCACAACACAATCAAGTAGTCATGTTTTTGTGGATATCAACAATGAATCGTTTTAGTTGCCCGGATTCATTGTAATGACGGTGCACTTGTGTCCAAGCCTGAATTATATCATGCGCTACTAAGAGTAGCACAAAGGCCACATTTTTGAAAATCATGATGAATGCTTCTCTTTACCAAAGTAAAAACCTAAGAGTATTTTCCACTGCAAAGGTAAAGGAAGGAAACTAATTTCAAAAGAAATGTTGAGTGCCAAGCGTGGCACTGAAATGCTAAAAAAGCATTTGCCATATGATGTTACTTTTGGTTGTTTTGCAGTTAAAACTATTCATCCCATTGTTCTTTGCACACAGCCAGGATTATCCTGATACATCAGCACTGTTTGCAAGCAGTTAACAGGCTGCTGAAAGGATTGAAGGAACAGCAATATCACTTTCAAGTCCAAATTGAAGCCACTTCAAAAATGGAGCATAGGAAAGTATTTGAAAAAAAAAAAAAAAAGATGAATGGCCCCTCTTTGGTTCCCTATAAATATACCTATTTTCCCTTATTTTCATATGGATCAATATATTTCATACATGGGGGTTTACAAGATAACTATGACTTTATCCTTGTAGCATCTCTGCAAAAAGATTTAAGTTTCTGATTTTAAACATGTGATCCTAGATTTCTGGAGAAGATTCAGATACTGTTTTGTAACCCTTTCTATTCCTTACTGCACAGAGGAAACATTAAGAGCTATCAATCTGATAACAACCCTAAACCAGATCTGAATAAAAATGCAATCTGACTGAAATATTTTATAATCTACTTTATCCATAACAGCAATATTAGAGCAAAGGCATGAGCAAATTGTGGTAACTGCATAACTATGAATTTTTAAAAGAAGAGACTGGACAGCCATTTGTACGAAATGGTATAGGGTTTCCTACCTGAGCAGGGGGTTGGACCAGATGACCTCCAAGTTCCCTTCCAACTTTATTATTATTATTGTTGTTGTTATTTTATTAATATTGTACCTTAAATTTAATATTGTACCTTTCTAATGAAAAATGTAGATAGTCCTTGCTTAAAGACTGCCTCATTCAACAACTGCTTGAAGTTACAATAGTGATGAAAAAATAATTTTATGACTGATGCTCACATTTATGTCCTTTGCTGCATTCTCAATCAAGTGATTGACATTACAGTCAATACACATTATCCTGTGATTGACTTATTGCTTTTCTACCCTTCTCTTTGCAAAGAGGAGTGTAGAGACTGGAGAGGAAGGGATTACAAGAGAGTAAGTAGGCACACAATGGGGAATGCACTGGGCTGTTTGTGTAATGTGCTGGTGGCTACCGATGCTATCACATTCCTTTCAATGTGTATTGTTTGTCTGCTTACTCTCTTATAATCCTTCTTCTTCAATGAATGCTAATGCAAACATTAATTCTCTTCTTGCTAATTATCCCAGTGTAGGGAGTGGTTAGGAGGCAAACAAAAGCCAAAAGTGTGAAACTAACTAGCCTTGTCAGTTTCGAGCCAGTATCGCTGGGTAAGTATTCAAAGGGCAGTGGAATGGGGGAAAGAAAAGCATAGTCTGACTGCTTAATATCCCACTTAGTGACTGATTCACTTAATGATAGGACTGCTGATCCAAATGTGGTTGCTTAATTTGGACTACCTGTACACCAGATGCTTAAATATACTGTTTAAATATAAAGAACATTACTGGAGTGTTACAGAGATTCAGAAGTGCCCCTTCCAAATACATCATGGACTGAATACAGAATAAGATAAGTTTCCCAACAGAAAGCGCTTAAAGTGGTACCCAAATTTGTTATTTTAAGCAGTACATTATGTAAGCAGATAGTCTTGTTACCCCCATAACCACAAATCAATTATAAATTAAAATCCAATTTTTAATTTATATGATTGTATACAATTACA